CGTCCAACCCATCTGCTTTGAAAATCTGAAACTCACGCGTCAAGTGGTAAAAGTGAACTAAACGCAATTTAAAATGAAATATACACAACGACATCAAACGACGCCGCACCAACCATAGTGAAGGAATATCAACAGGACTTTGTCTCTATCTCCTCTCCCCTTCTATCTCTTTCTTGTTCTTTTGCTGACACTGATACATATATGTGATGAAGCACTCAATGCAAAAACAGTTTTTGCTCGTACGCGATACCAAAATCAAAAGCTAAGAGTTACGACAAGAAAAAAAAAATAATTGTTCAATGTTTTTTTTTACTCCTCGTAGAATGATGGTATGTTTTTGTGCTTATTTGAATAGAGCGACCTTAAACAGTGGTGTCATTCAATGCAACCATATGTTGTCTCTGTACAGTATGTGCGACACTGTGTATCTACAATGAAGATAAACGAAAATAACGGAAAAGTGGCAATAACAAGGCTAAATGAATAGCCGCGTCGGATGTGTGCATGAGATGTTGTCTATTTCAAAATTAATTTTCAACCAGTGACCGAAGCTCCCTTTTTGTCTTGAATTTCCTATGCCTTTATCCGGTCTTAGCGGCATACACTTTGTTCGTGGATCCAATGTTAGATTGAAGTGTATATGTGTGTAGTCATTATACACTGTATGCAATATGCACTGAACGTAAGATTTTTCATTCCAAGCACATCAACATTCATAATAATTCTTTGCTTTGAACTAACCGTGGACCAGCATTAAATATTTTCTCAAATACAGCACAAAACATAGATATGGGCCCGATAAACGAGCGTCTGGCAACTAAAATCTGACCATTTTACGTGGCCATTCTTGTCTTCATTATTCATTTATTTCGCTGACTTTATTTATTCTCTTACATCGGGAAAAAAAGAAGATGAAAAAAGGCAAAGACAAGCGAGACGACTAACTTCATTTTTAATTACGTTATGGCATCTTTTTTGCGTGGTAAGCCATTCTCTGTACAACAATTTTACTTCAATATAAGGGCAGTTAAAATTAAACAATTTACGTTCACGTCCACTTTTAACTTCGTTTGAGTGTATAAAAAAAGAAGATAGACGAGGTATGGCAAAAGATGAAATGAACACCGTGTTTGCTAGCAAAGTACACATTGCCGCTTGGCATACATCTTCATATAATGTATACCTAATTCATAGAAATTAAAATTGCTTAAACTTTGATGATGCCTAATTTATGTTCTTACCAGAAATTATCGTCGATAGACTTGGCGTTGAAAGTGACTGAAACAATTTGAAATCGATTTCATGCAAATGGTACGTTTATTTTTTGTTTAAATTTCGTTCCATTTCAATTATATATTGTTCGAGCTTGTCTGTGAGTACGCATGAGAAAAAATTCTTATTAAGTAATTCGGAAAAGTCCATTCTATAAATTTTAATATTTTAATTTAAAGTCCATTCTAGTGTAAAAAAGAGATAAAAAAGTCTTCACTTTTCCCGAGAAAATCCTCAGCAAATCGAAAGACTTTTCCAAACCTCAAAGGAAATAATAAACCAACATCTATGAATGTACAGTGTTTTTTTTTAATTTTTTACGTGTCTAGTGAAAAGTTTGAAAATGCAATACCTTGGAATTCTTAGTCTAAAATTTATAGTTAATGGTTATTATTCATTCATTTGCCATTTTCTCTGTAATCACAAAACGTGTACTGCTTTTGTTGGTGACATTGTCTCTTATTTTTAATTGCTTATGTTCTACTCTGTTTTTGCTTTTATTTAATATGGCTGCGTCTTTTCTCAAATGCAAATTGAATTCAATGTAAATAGAATAAAGAACGTTGTGTTACATTTACTTTTAATTGTTTCCACAAACTATTACGTTAATATTTTATAATGTATTTCCGTGTATTTCTGATTGAAAATGAAGTTGCCCCATGACGTCAATAATGTACGCATATAGGTTTGTTTGATTTTGACACTTCACAAATAGACTTTGCATCTAAGAATTCTTTTTAAATTTTCCATATTTTTTCTTTTCTAAGGAAAATTTTTAAAAATACCTTTTTATATTTCTTTTGTTCGATTTACATGCGTCTTTTTTTCGATGTAATGGAGGGTAGATTGGAACATACACATTTTTATACCTCCTGCTATGTATTGGCATGGAAAAATGATTCGTTCGCTTTGCTGGCTTATCGCTCAACTATTCTGGCATTGTGATTTCGTAATAATAAATCATTTTTTATTTCACGTCGCGTAAAAAAATTAAATCAGACGAAATAAAAATGGAAAAAAGTGCAAACAGTAGTGGAGCGGATTACATTCATTGGATCAGGTAACAAAATCACAACGCCATCTTACAACGTCTGAGTAATCTCAATGTTATCTATAGTTTTGCTAAAGAATTTGTTGAATTTTAGTTATTCAGCGTAAAAAAAGAAATTATTTTCACGAAGTAAAAATATATGCCTGTTTTTCAAAGTGATGCTACCAGCAAAATGTGTGATAAAACTTCTTGATAAAATGAATCTATTAAGTTGTGAAATAATGGGCTTCACCTAAATCAACCATATTGAATAAACCAAATAGATGGCCCAAGGTGCGTGAATCCATGACAAAAACTGTGAAGCAAATAACAAAAATTTGGTCCCAGGGGCATCGAACTAGTGTTTTCATACAATTTCAAATCAGATTCTCTAACCACTAACTCCTCGCGCGAGGAAGAAGAAGAATCAGAAGAAATATGCAAACGAAATAGTAAAAACACGTGTCAGAAACAGACGGAAATAAATACGAAGCAATAACAAAATTTGTGACAAAGCCATTGCAAGTAGGTAAATGTAAAGGAAATGCGGAAGCGTTGGAACGGCAGTGCGCAACACAGTTTAAATGATATATAGTTTTATTACGCGATATGCGTTGATATTATTGCCGATTCTGTGTTGTCTACGTCTCATTCGTGCTTCATGCTTCGTGCATGTGATATACGTTGGTGAGCTTATCTATGAAAATTAAATGGCTGTCTTGCACGGCTTGCACATTTTGTGGTGCAAAGAGAAACGTTTGGTGAATTCGGAAAGATAACAACATCACATACATCCAGCGAGAAAAAAAAAAATACCCACCCAACAAACACTATGAGATTCTTCTGAAAATATGTTTTATACACGTCGGCAGCGAAATTCCATTTGTGATTGTTTTGTAAACAATTTTGCAGTGATAAAATGACACTATATGTCTATTCGCAGCCTCAACTATGCTGTTCAGATTGTAATTTTTCAGTGAAGCATTGCTAAGCATTCAAGATATGTACGTGATGCGATTTTATCCAAAAGAATATAAATCTCGAAAAAAAGTCCCATCCACATTAATGCGAGAAAGATAATATTTACCAAAAAAAAAAGAGAAAAAACCATGTTACCTAATTCCTTTGCAAAAAAAAGAAGGCTTTGAAAAACATTTGTTATGTACACGCGCTTGTTGTGGCAATAAATTAATTAGTGTTTATGAATATATCGATGAATCATCGACGATGATTCAATTTTTCGTTTCTTTTCAACCCAAACTTTCTTTCGTGTTGGTTTTTTGCATTAAAATTTTTGAATCGAAACTCTTAATACTCAAAGAAAATTTCTGAAACATATGATCATCAATCAATGTCATCTATAGGACTTTGTACATTCATAATTACAAGTCCAACCGAATTGATAGAATAGCATGAGCATGAAACCCAATAATTATTTCAAGTAAAATACCAAGCATCTGTGGGTGGTGGCATGCAACCCATGTAACTCACGCTTGATTCGGATGGTTTTGAATTTGCGGTCATCCAAAAGTTAACCGTTACAATTTTCCAACGTCATGTTTTTGTTTGCTTATTCGATTCGCATTTAAATGTTGTAAAGCGTCAACACAATGTTATTCAATTTCAATGTATGCATAATTATAATCTGTGTCGGAATGTTTTCAGGAATGTTTAGGTTGAAATAATTAATTATCACAAAGATATGTTGCGGTTAAATATGGCACATAAAAGAAGCTCATTTAATCCGATATTTTTTCCCCGTTTTTTCTCTTCCATTTTCATCCATTTTTCAACCATTTTCTGGTTCCACAAATCGTTATTGGTTTTGGTTCTATCTTATTTGCATGCTTCTTTGTTTTCCACCAATTTAATTGTATGCTGTTACGCGTCGATGATTACATTGATGATGATGATACTGCTACATGTGCCAATATAATTGAATTTATTACCTAAAACATATTTGAGCCTTTATTATCAATATCATTACTCTGTTGGCTGTGCATTATTATGTTTCAATTTGTATTTGGTAGCCATATTGTATCAGTTGAATGTAATTTGATATTTTCTACCGTAAATCAATTGAAGCGAATTTTAATGTTAAATTTTGAGTCTAATTGTACACATTTATTTGAAAAGGATAAATTACGATTTTCTCGAATACATAGCTATAAGTTTATCGGGTAAAGGAATGCCTTCTGATTCGTAATGAAAATTACGTCAGTGAAGAAGAAAAAAAAGAAACCTGAAAATGGTTTCCATACCATCGTGCATCTCATAAACAAAGTTTCATAGCCATTATTACATAATGCGTATATTCAAACACTGTTATCGTCTTTAATCTTGAGTGATTTTACAGAAAATGGGCTGAATATAATAGTTACATGTTGTTGGTTGAAAAGAGATTTAAACTCGAAATTCATATATATAGTATGCATGTAACACACTTTGTTCACAATCTATTGTGCACACATAGAGAGTCAGAGGGAATGGATGCGAGTACAATGGCCGTAACAAGATACTAAAACTAACTATCAGCATATCATCTGCCATACATATATATATATATATCCGTCTCAATATTCATCCCTATTCCGTGTGCATCTATTTTGGCCAAAGCGAACAAACAACCGATGCCATTTATATGAGTCAATGCAAACCAAGATTACGAATTATAAATGATAATTTTAATCGTTCTTACCTTCTCTTAATGATACAATATAATATGATTCCTTGGACGGAGCGCTAATACCTAATTTATTAACAGCACGTAGTCGAAAGCTGTAGACCGTAAATGGTATCAAACCGGTTACCTGATACGATGTGATATTTGATTTGGTATTAATTTGTGGCACCTGATCCCAGGGTCCATTTTCTCCAACCCTATTGTGTCAATCGCAAAAAAGACGACCATTTAAATAGCGCGCATCATCGTTATTCATTGTAAACCGTATCAATAAAACGAAGACGATGGAGGAAGAAAAAACAAAAGAAAAGAAATGGCATTAATAATATAAAAGAATCGAGGTAACATCAGATTATTATTATTAATTATAAAGCAAACAATTTATTTGTTCAACAGTATACAAATATTTTATGTGACATAAGACGGAGTTTTACTGCTTTTCATTCGGCTATCGTTGAGATATACCAATTCGGCTATTGGCAGTGTCGCTTCCATGATATAGGGCTTTTGATCGTTTTTGCACCCCTTATCTTTCTTAGCTTTCTCTCTTACGCTCATGCACATTTACTCAAGATAACTATAATTCATTTTCGTCAATAGCCGTGACCATAATTTTAACTAGGATTAATTTGACTTATTGTCCGCTTGCTTTCATTTCTTCATCGCTTTTCAAGTTGCTAGTTTTGAGTAGAATTATGCATTGCAACGGGTTTTTGTAAAAAAAAATGGAATGTGACGCACATAAATTTGATTTATTTTTTCCCATCAGCTTCATCGCATCTTTTTTGTGAGCTTACTGAGATTCTACGTTCGGATATTATGGAAATGCTTTTCATATAGTTACATCAAACGTCATATTGGGAACAGCAGAAACACGAAAAATACACACACCAAAAAAAAAGAAACAAAAGAATATATTTTTTTTGTGTGTTTAGTGTTTGGAAGTACGACGGCATTCATAAATATCCATTTAGATAGACAGAAATAATCGGAAATGTGTCAAGCCGGACACGACAAAATAACATTCAAAACAAAACACGACACTTCTGAACAGTAGCGCGAGAAAAAAAAAATGAAAGCCGACAGAAATAACGACAATGAAAACAACACAATGAAGAGAGCAAAAAAAAAAAAAAACTTTCGCGCGCGAGAGAAATGGGGGCGGACGTGGTACCAAAAATGCCCAGTCATGGCAGACAGATTCGTGTTGCATGAGAGATTCTGAGTATATATAGATGTGCGTCCGTAAATAGCATATGAATATCAAAAAGTGTACAAAAACGCAACACACAATGAACACACTGGCAAAGTCTGAAAAGGTTCGTCAACCAACCAACAAGCGACGATTTACAGTATTTGTAGATACGAGTGTCGAATGTAAATTCACTCATATGCTTTCAATAGACGGAAAAATTGTCGGCAAAAAAGCTCAGCACACACAATGACATGAACATCGGCGCTGCAACGCATTCAGCCTCCCGGAACCGATGAAAAAAAAAAACATAAATCAATAAATATTTTGAATGTTATAAATGGTTTGACTTTTTGCACGTTCCACATGTCCCTTTGTGTGCGTACGCAGTACGGTCGCGCGAGCCCATGTATATTAGACGGTTGATATTTCATTTTATTTTCCACTGATGTGGCTGCTTCTTCCTGATTTTATTGTGATGCCATTTTTTTTACCACCTCTTCCCAGATCATTTTACATTTGATCTTTGAGAGTTTTCCGCTATATGCTCATCATTATCTCTGAAATAATTTGTATAAAAGTGTGTGACAGGAATCGGGTGCAACGTAAATTAAACGCAGGTGAAAAACGCAATGGACAACTTCAACACGACACATAAAAAATCATGTAACGGACGTGTCCTCGTCATAAATTAAACGAGATTAAACATTCAAAGTGAAACAAAACATAGCAACAGTGTACAATGTCCTGTCACACGACATTGTGTCAGAACACAAACAAATGTTCACGGAAATATTATTTTGGTATAGTTTTAAAATTCAATATTTCCACTTCAAATAACAACACAATCTCGCTTTAATGTAGTATATACGAGGCGTTGGGCACTTAATAAAGGAAATTTTAATGGAAATACGCGCTTTTTAAGGACAAATAATTTAATTTTGATTTTAATTGAATTTTCATTTTATAACAAAAAAAAACATGGTTCAAGTCACAGAATTTTCAGAAGCTCGTAGAAGCGGTGGGAAAAATGAAGACCTTAAAACTTGTGAATCTGAGCGAATTGTAAAACTTTCTCAAATCATTTGCTTGGTAAAGCCATTACAATTTAATACTAACCTGGTCTCAACTAGAAAATGCGTCACACGTGCATTGCGCGGCTCTTGGGAATGGGCCCAAGATAAATTCATTGAGCGAGACGTAAAACTTGTAATCAATGGTCGCTCCGGTGCATCAGGAACATCTATTGAAAATGAATTCAAAATAAAATGAAATAATTACTCGACATTTTTGGGTAGGTTTACTGGTTTACTTATTAAAATACTCCTAAATTAATAGTGCGAACTCTGAAGATATTTTAAAACACAGAATTGCTCAGCTCTGCTGCCATCCACAGCATATTAAAATATCTTGCTGAGAATGCGTCGTCCGTCGCATACGAACGTCCGTAGCAGTTTATACATCACAGCGAACAAGAATGAATGCATTGTTCTCTTCACGATTATGTGACTCAAAACATTCAAACGATTGAATAGAGAACAATGCATGTATTGTTGTTCGCTGTGATGTATAAACTGCTACGTACCTTCGCATGCGACGGACGACGCATTCTCAGCAATATATTTTAATATGCTCTGGATGGCAGCAGCGCTGAGCAATATTCTGTTTTAAAAAATGTAAAACAAAAGACTGGGTCATAAAATGTGAAATTTTCATTTTTATTTGGTGTTGAAATTGAAAATTGAGGATGCTTAGAAAGAAAAATTATATTGACAAAGTTCCGGCAAAGAACAAAACTCCTCAGTTGAAAAAAGTTTCATCGACGATACACATAATTTTTTTTATAAATGAACGATTCAAAATATTAATTCAATGTATTCATAGATTTATTTATAGAAGGAAAGGCCGCCACCTAACACTAAATGTCAATATTGTTGAAAAATATGTGAATTTTTGTTTATTTTTCATGTCTATTGTTCCATTGCAGATGAAATGAAGTAAATATTTGGTGTTATTTGATGTCATATGTTCCAATTTTCTAATATATGTTTGTGTACAACTACATTGTGATCAATTTATCGAGTCACACTTCAAAACTTATTCATCGTGAATTTTCTCTGGAAATTCTTTCTTGATTCAACAAAAATTGAAAGTAGTTGTAGAAAAACAAATACATATGAGTGCATTTCAAATTGCTTGCATATAAGTTATCCAGTTATTCAATTGATTCGAGTATAAAATAGCCTTGTTTGCAATAGTTGGCTAGAAATATGGTCAAAATTAGAACAGAGATATTCAGTCTAAGAATTTCCTAGTAGTCTTCGTATGTGAAGATGATTTTAAACATATTTACTGGAATATCGATTCATATAACAATGCTATTGATTTCTCGATTTGATCAATGCTCTATATGGAATGATTTATACCATTTTAATTGCATAACGTGTCATGCATTTCATTCATATCGTGCATCGTCATGATTTCGAACAACAGCCCTTAGCTTCAAGAGCAATGCTTGTTTCTCGGTATTATGTGATATGAAACGTTACCGTGTGTTAGTGAATTACACAGAAATGCCTGTTTACTGTTTGCTTTAAATGCACTTTGTGTACTTGTGTGCTGAATATAATGGATTCCGTGTTGATGTTATACATTCTTTCAAAGCAAACTATGTTGTTTCCATCTATTTCCCTGACTGTATGATAAATGATACAAAATATGGAATCGAAATAAACGGATGCTTTTCTGACAAATATCTAATCAACAACCAGCGGATTGACCTGGTTACCGTGGTCCAGCTATCACGCTTTTTATGATTTCTTTTGGATGCTCGGTACTTTTGATGGTTTAATTTTTGTACTCAGTTTTCGACCAATCAAAGTTGAAATGCAAACGAGATGTCTTTGGTTTGATAAATACGCTGAATGAAACCTTTCACGTTGAAAATATTTGTAGTAGCGACGAATCCACCATCCAATTCATAACAATTCATAACTGACGGCAGATGAAAATATATTGTCCGCTACGACAATATTGACCGCTTGTATCAATTTTTGAGAGACAAAATGATGAAAGCTGGTTTCCATGCTGCTCATTGAAAATGTATTAAATTCACATTAAAGATACTGTAAAGTTGCGAATGTTCGTCCGTCATTGAGAATATATTTTACTGTTCCGCACACATCTAGTTCAATGGATCAATATTTTGACACAACTCAAAGACATGTTTTCTAGACATTTTCGAGGACAGAGAACCCGGATGCTTTTTGAGCATGATTGTTCTGGATCTGTTCTACGTGAAACGTGGCATGTTGTTTGCTTTTTTACATTTATTATAGCTGTCTCGTTTGAAAATCTGCTCTGAGAAAACTCAGATGTTGAAATTCAAAGTAATAAGAGAAAAATGCCATTTTAACATGGAGAGGTTTTTAAACATGGTAAAATCTTATTTTACCCGCAACACATTTCTTTGTGGGTAAAACCGCATTTTAACATGTGAAAAAATCTCTCCATGTTAAAATGACGACAAAATGCCATTTTAACATGGAGAGATTTTTGAACATGGTAAAATCTCATTTTACCCGCAACACATTTCTTTGCGGGTAAAACGGCATTTTAACATGTGACAAAATTTCTCCATGTTAAAATGGCATTTTTCTCTTATTACTTTGAATTTTAACATCTGAGTTTTCTCAGAGTGGTATGTCAACAGTCATTACTCCTTATATTATCATCATTCGAGGCAATCATTTTCCGTCATTTTCAAATGTCTAATTGAAAAAATACCTCCAAAAACCTCGAATTTAAATTTTGCGGTATAAAGCTTGGGGAAAAAATTACAAAAAAGAATATTTTACAAATAGGGGTTTCTGTAGAATAGACAATGTATTGAGATATTTTGAATTAGCTGAAACAGCTCATTTGGCTGAAGATATGTTTTAGAGAAAGTATGATGCGCTTCTTGTTTCAATGAAACTGTTCTGCATCCAATTTGATATGTAAAAATTCAACTTAAACAAAAAATGAACCCAAATTCGTTTCTTTCACTGTCATACAAGGCAGCAACCATTTTCAGCCAGATGAGCTATTTCACTTGGCCGATAGTATCTCAGCACAATGTCTACCATTCTATATGTATTTTCTAATGATTTTCCCGTGCGATTGCTGTTTCTATTGTTATTGTTTTGTTTTGTGATCACGTAAATTCAATTGCTGTGTACTTTTTTCATTCGTCTTTTTTTTCGTGAATGGAAAAAAAGTTGAAATTTACACAAACAATATAGAAAAAAAATGAATTCGATATTTGAAAACACAATCAAATGTAAATTTACTGCTGTTTACCGTCATTCACTGAGTCTACGGTTTGCCATTTTGGAGCCACTCCAACATTGTTCACGCAACGATACTCATGAAAAGCATTGGATATGCCAAACGTACATGCATTGTTTTTCAAAAAAAAAAAAAAAAAAAATCACTAAATGGTAGAGATTTACATTTTTTTCTCATTTACTTCAATTTTTTTCCCGTTTCTCTTTATCTCAGTTCCCCAATTTTGTTGTGTTCGTTTTCATATTTAACGAAATGGCCGCATGAAATTGTGAGCAAAATATCTGCATTTCACTTTGAATGCCTGTATGCGTGAGTGAGTATGCGTGTATTCATAAATGTTTGGAATTGTTGCCGATTTATCTATGGTAGCGTTTACTCTCTTTGAGTGATTGAAAAATAATGCAAATAATTTCAACAAACAATACATTTCGAGCACTTTTTTTACATTCACCTTTCGCTTATCTGAAAGCACACCAGATTCAATCGCATAAAAAAACCATTACCCTTAAACTGATTACGATGCATTGGTAAATATAAAAGATTATTTTGGCAGCATATTCTATCGGAAAATTAGTAATTTCAAGTAAAAACAAAGACTAACTATGGCTGGCTGTGTCATAGAACTTGGTCAACAACGTCCAACGATGGATTGAGTCAAATGAATGTTTAGTTATCTCAATCTGTTAGTTTGCATTGACATTGGATTGTATATTCTAGTTCACAGATATGAATACGTGTGTGTTTGCATCACGGTTGCACAGAGTAAATCACCAATGCTATTTTAGAAACGAATATTTTTTTTCGTTTACGCCGGTTTGATACAACTAAAATAAAATTTATGTGAAATGTTAAATTGATACCGAATTGAAATTCACGGTGCAAAAAATATCCACATTGCGTACGATGAGAGTATATTGTGTGTGTGTGCGGATTGTGTACATAAAACACAAGTGGGTTGAACAAAAGGCACAGTAGATAAAATTATGGAATTTGAATTCACTGAGCGTACATTGCGTTATTGAAAATGCTTTTTCGTGTACATAGCCACGAGCGAAAAAGTTATGGTAATGATAATAATGACAATAATAATAATGTTAATAATCACAATGGTGATGATGCCGCTGGCTTTGAAGTTGCTAGTTTTTCCTACTATAAAACGATCATTACAGATCGTAGTTTATTACAAAATCTTTTTTCATCGTTTTCATTTCGATATAGATGCAGCATAATAAAGAGGCTTTGAATATTCGACAATTCTCAGTACGCTTGGTGACATTCTTATCAACAATCAACCAGCCACAAAGTGAATGTGGATATAAAAAAAGAGACGAAAAAAAAATGCTTAAAACTCATAATGAAAATATAGAATTGTATTGAGTCAATGAAAAGGCGTGAATTCAAAACTTTGTCGGAAGTTGTTGAACGTTTGGCAATTTTCCCATTCTATTCAAAACATGCAACATATAATTGTGACAAAAACCTGCAAAGCATTCACGATGAACAACAAAAAGACAACACAAAAATGAAATCTATAGATGTAGATAGAGAAACGTTTTAATATTTGAATGTTCTGTGTCGGTTGCATGTGTGATGTTTGCACATTTTGCAATGTTCGAATTTTGTATTTTCACTCGAAACACGATAATTGTAAAAATATTTAAGGAATATTTATAAACATAAATGTGCCTGATAGCATTTCATTTTATACACATGCATACTAAGATCGATGCCGAACCATTTCACTTGATAACGTCCTATTGGCAATTTCATGGGTGAGTGTGCGTTTGTTTTTATATTCGTATGCTTATAGAAATCATTATCATTATGCATGCTCATAATACATGCGATGGTAACGAATCGTTGTATCGTACCAAACTGAATAATAGCATTGCTCCGTGGTATGCATTAGGATTAAATAAGTACACTATTATCTTTCATGATATAAAAGTTCTGGGCGACGAAATACAGATGCAGAATATTAAATACACATGCAAACTGGGTATGGGCGAAACTTGCAAAGATACATTACGACCGATTACATCCTTTTAAATCTAAACCATTTGCATGCAAAGCCACACTTATTTTCTATATTTGATTTGCCGTTTCATTTGATTACTTTCTCATAGCATATATGCGACGACACATACAAAAACAAACAGATAGCCACATTTTTAAAAACACTCTAAATTTAGATGAAACCCATCCAGCTACTTAAAATTATCTAAATGTATTTCAATTATTATTTTAAGCAATTGTTCGGGTCAATCAAGAAAGAGCAATAATCAAAATATATTTTGAAAAATTTTGAAGGCCGATTTTAATGTATTATAATTTGTAGATATGACAATTTGAGGACATCACCCCGGAAACAAACGCTGTTACATGCCACATAATCAAGGAAATAATGGACAGAAGAAAAAAAAACTGTCAAACTACTAGATTTACATGTTCTATGTTATTTGAGATACTTTGACGCATTGTTATGTTGAGACTCTCAATTAAGCTCGTCAAACAAATTGAACTATTTCCGATTTGAAAGAATGAAAAAAAAAAACTTTTTCTTAATGGCGGATCATAATGATATACCACTTATCACGATAACCATAATAATTGCCGTTTAGGAGTACAATTATCATGGTAATCTCTAGTGACGTTGATAGACAATACGATTATTGAAAATTGCTTATTTTACATGCTCATTTTCACACTGTCCAAAATAGCATTAAGGGAATCTTTACTGATCTTTTCCCTATTGTATTTTTTTCTTCTTTAGCTATTATCTTCATTTCGGGAAACCAAAAAAGTAAACAAACTACAGAAGAGAAAAAAAAACACACCAAAAAAAGAACGACTGAATAATATATTAGAATGAATTCGAGCATTTCCATAACATTTTGGACACTTTTTATATTTATTCTGCCATTCACATTCAAGTGGTAGAGCGCTGAGCGCTGCGGGTAAAATATACAATTGAAGGGAATGTCTTCAAACTTCTCACCTATGTTATATGGCTTTGTTTTATCTGAAAAGTACTTTTAGCTTGAAAAGGAGTCATAATACTCATTCATTTAATGCCATTACTTGACGCAGCGCAGCTTGAAAGCTTTCCAACAATTTATATATATTAACATAGGCATTATGGGGTGCTTAAGCTCAACCAGTTGCCACAAAACAAATGGTATGTGCACAAAGTGATTTGATTTCAATATTATTCACGTTTGCCTTTGATCGGCTTTGTTTTATATATTTTAGTTATTCGAATGAAATGCTATGAAACAACAAAACAATTTTATAGAAATACAAATGATTTTCCATTGTTTTACTTTTGATTTTGCAGAACACAGATGGACCAACATTGAATAATTTTGAATAGACGCAGATAACGCAATGAATTTTGTTTTTTACCATCACCACATTAACATTTACAAGTTTTATTAATAAAGATGTTCGTTTCAAAGTATTCATTATAGCGTATATTAGACAGTTTGTTGAATAAACGACGTAAAACTTTTTTTTTCGGATCGAAATATTCATAAAACAACGTACGCAATAAAAAGAATTATTTTTAACATTCAATTGTTTCGTAAGTGTGCATCTGACGTTTTACACCTCACATTTTTAACACGATAACAAATGCTCTTTGTTCAAATGTTTGGATATTGAGCACAAGGGAAATTAAGACGATCTAAATATAGACGAACAAAATGTAGGCTTCAATATGTTCGGCCTGAAGACAATTTAAACGCACTTGATAGCCTAGTACACTGATCTGCAGACTCTTTCCAATTTTGTGTATTGTGTGCAACTGAATTTGATATTTGGATTTATTTTTAACCATCCGACCAATGTGTATTGCATGTGTGGGCTTTTGACGAAATAAAATGAACAACAATGTACTGATATTTTTACATACAATACTTTGATGAAATATACAAGTATATATGTATCTTAAGAAGACAACGTCTTAATGAATCTTGCCGCCTGCTCTTCCTTACAGCGATGCCCATAAGTGAAATTAGCAGAAGGGATTCCAAAAGTCATTTTTTATTTTCAGCTACACAGCTGTATGACGCAGCGTATAAATTGGAAAAAGAAGAGTATATAGACAAGTTTGGAGATAAAAATACATAGATGAAGATGCATTAATTGAAAAAAAGTAGTGTTCAATTTTTTTAGAAAAAAATGTTGACAAGTGTCACAAAAATTACCAATTGTAAAAGTGAAGATATATTACAAATCAAGTATCTTAAATGTTCATTGGTATGTTGAAACTCAAAAATATCAAATATAAATACTTTCTTCTCGCATGATTAGTTTTGTTCCAGAAATTTGTCTGAAAATTAAGGTATTTTTTCATTTCGCCTTAAAGTAAATAAAAGTTGAACGAAGTAAAATTTTATTGCATTTCATATATTCTACAATCTTTATGTTGAAAAAAAAAATAACCCTCTTGCAGACACCCAGCATGGGAATGCTTTATTTGGATCTATCTATTCCGTAAGATTCATTTTCAACTCATGGTATTTCACAGTCTTTTATACTGGCTGACACATACTGAGTTGTTTACATTTGTTACTTATTATACTTTATTTTCAAGCATTTTACATTGTCTTTGTAATGTTTCGCCTTTTATAGGTATTTTTTTGAGAGAAAATCTTGATCATATACTTAGAACTCTGAATGATGAAAATATCTTATTAACGGAAAAATAATAAGTCCCTTGTGATTCCAATATAAGGAAGTTTCTCTCCAATTTATCCGGAAATGATTATCTTACCTTGTACTAATAAATCGATAATGGCTTCTGGCGAGTGCCGATCGTTGACTAGACAAATATACTCGGCAGTGTCTGTTGATAATGCCGGATGAAATTGTAAACTAAAATCTTGGGGTGAGAGCGTCATCTATATAATAAAATAGAATAAAATATTTTGGAATAAGATTTCAAAATGATCATTTGTATTGTTTGAAAACTAAAAAAAAATAACGCGTAAATTCGCCATGTCAACTTCTCGACTATCACATTTATTATTGACAGTGAACTTAGTTTACCCGTTCTTTACTTTGATATTAGATATGACATATACTGAAATGATAAATAAAAAAAAGGAAGCAAAAATTCGAATGGAACAAATGCACAAACGTAAATCACGCTGTGTGAGTATTTCGACAAGTAATAATAAACAAAAGAAAAATCATCAAAATGAAATTGGATATATATTCTTTTTGTTATTGGCATGGATATTCTAATATATATATTTGTAGTTAGTTTGTTTTACAGTCTCATGGTATTTGAATTTATATCTGAATACCGAAATGCAACGATGATAGGTAAAAATAAAATGTGTGGGATCGGACAAACAAAAGACCGAACCATATAAGACACACACACAAAAAAACACACAAATTGAACAAAAATGACGAAAAAAAATATTGATTTATTACATTTTAGTCATTGTTTTTGATTTTGAAACATGCATTCTATATGCCGTTTGGCATACACAAAACAAAATAATATACATGGAATTCGCTTATGTTTGTTTGTGCACGTCAGATTTCATTCTTCTTTTACATTAGCCCGTGTTTTGCTTTATATGCAGTTTTTCCATTTGGGATTTCATGTGTCCGCACATGTTTTTTTTCTCTCTCTTCTTCTTCAGTACAGCTTTTGTGCGTTGCATTCCCCTGTTGGCTTTTGTGCCATTAACTATTGTTGCTTTTTGTGTCGGTACAGAATCCAATTTATAGTTACAGAGCAACACGTCATCAAGATAAGAATCTATGCGTTTATAAACGAAACGAGGTTTTCTTTCCATTTTTTATGCAACATTTTCAACGCTCTCTGACACGAACCGAAAACGGAATTGAATGGAAAACTCACAATGAAAGCCTTCATGTGCTCCAATAAAAATTGGAAACAATGACGCAAAACATTGTACCAAATTTTTGTTGTTCCCGTTGTTGTTGTTGGTGTTTTTAAATAGGAATGCGAGACAAAGTGAAACTACAATTTTAATTGGAATAGTTTGCAGACAAAAATGAATCGGTAACAGCTTTGTTTGAACATTTCATATGATCGAAAAGAAGTGAATCGCTTGAGAAAAATGTGATATTTGTTCCAACATTCATAATAACGTACAATAAAGGATTCAATGTGACAGTGAAATTGTGTTTTGTTCTCTCTGTTGTTCAACAATAAAAGAATTTACTGTATAATGTCAATAAATTCAATTAAAAATTAACATTTCGCAAAATGGAAACCAATAAATTTGTTGGCAGTTTTCTTTCTTTGATGTATGAGTTGATTTTTTTTGCATTGAATATGCACTTTATACGATGTGTCATGCATACATTGTATGCCACCCGCTTTAAAATTGCTCATCATTCAATTTTATGTCTTCCTCTTTGCCGATAAATTGCATCGTGTTGCATTTCTAATTTTTCACCGTGACTTGTATTTGGCGATCTTCAAAAGTGATTATGAATATGCATTTTCCAACAAATATCGTGAAACGATGCAAGGGAATGGAAAAAATGCAACATAATCCATTTTGTATCGCTTTGCAAATATGTGTGCTTTCCTTTTTTTTCTTCTCAAATATTTTTATGAGCACAAACGTTTTACGTTGCAGTGAAAAGCATATTGTTCGCATGCAATATTTATGCGAATGCATATTGTATACATCGAAAAGCGAAAAAGAGAGAGAGAGAGAGAGTCGAAGAGAGGGGGAGGTAAAGAGAAAATAGACGATAAAAAGGGCACATCTCCGAACAATACAAGTTTTGCGTTATATGCCGTAATAAAATATGCTCATAAATTTTCGTGCGCATGTAAAATGTAAAGATTTTTCACATGAACTCAAAATTCTACATATTTACCGCTCAACAGATTTTCGTACCGCTGTAATCATGGAACATAAATGAACATATCGCTATTTTGTGGTTCATATTGCATTTTTTTTTTGTTCACTGTAATAAAGCAACTATCAAATTAAACGCGTGCACTTTTTGCACATAATACATCTAAAAAAAAATTGTAAAACACACTTTCCTTGTTGTTGAAGTATTAAATTTTAATAGAAAAAAGTCAGAGCCATGCCAGTGTTTCACTTCAAGAAGGCCGTATTTAAGCTTTTTTAAAACATAGCTCTCATTCAAAATACAAGTGTTCATACTTAAAATGAATTGCTCAGAATAAATCGGAAACTATTTTGAAGAACGAATATGTTCAAGTGACAAATGAGGAGAAATAAGGTCTGATTTCAAAGATATATCGACCCAATGCTTTTTCAGCAAAAACATGTCTCCCTCTAAAATAAAAATCACTAGCGCTCATTTACTCATTGGTCTGCTTTGCGAAGCTGTCCCTGGAATAAATGTAGAAATAAAGTGTCTCAGTGTACGTGGTATGTCCATCACACGCAACAACCACTTATTGAGATGTATACCATAAATTTAAATTACGAAATTTTTTCAAGAGTCACCGTTTTTTCACTGCGAATCAAAATAGAAATCAGTTTCTCTATAGAGAGTATTTTAGTTTTCCATATTAACTTGTTCAAAATCTAAGACCCCTTGAAAAATCTGTTTCGTATTTCATTGGACATGTGTTTTAGATTTGCACAACAGCGATAACAACGAACATTAATAATTTCGTTTGGGAACGTTGTAGTTAAAGTTTTCTGACGGAGCCAGAATACTGTCGCCTTCCATATTTTAAACTTACCAAGAATCTGAACGTAATCTTATGCTCTTTTTTTTCTTCACATTTTTAAACACTTTGACTCTGACTAATTGATTTTATGCGCTTTTTTTTTACTTACTCTGTGATTGTGTACAAGTGGTATTCCGTTCGAATAGTGGGCAATCGTTGTAGTTGTTCTCCATTTCAAGGCGTTCACTAGCGATTGCTCATTTACTCCTGGACATGGTAAAGTAACATTTTTACCAGCTTCGGCAACAAAACTTTTTATTGGTATATTAGTCACATCTGTAAATGCAATAAAAGATTAAAAAAATTAGTGTGCAATTAATTAAACGAAAAATCGAAGACACATTTTTAATAATGAATATATTGGTGAATCCACTTCATTTTTTCATGCTTCTATTTTTACATTACGGTATAAAAATGTTAAAATAAATTGCGAGAAGCATGCATGCATGCATAAACATCTGATATAAAAAAGGAAACGAATCGAAAAAAAAACTGGAAAAATATAAAGGGCAATGTGAAGAAAAAGTGATGTAAAATGTTATTCAGCAAAAGAAAAACTAATTTTCTGTTCTTTGCTATGTTCCAAATAACTAACTATTGCGGCGAGAAAAATAGTTTCGACTACATATTTCCACAGCGAATAAGTTCAAGTTGCAATTCTCTTTTAGCACCGTTTCATTTTTGTTTAAGATACTGTGTGTACATTCGTAACCATTTTCCAACTTACAAATGACCTAGCGTTTGGCAATTGCCACATATGTGGTTTTTGTTGTCTGGTGTTTGACATTTTTGGCAAACATTCAATTCGGCAACAACATGGCATATTTATTGCACTTGGCACTTGGTTGCCAATTCTCTTAAGTCCTTTGAGGTAAGTAAAACAAAAGAAATACTTATGAATCTATGCACGTGGATTTCAGAGTAAGTGCCAACATATATTACATATCGCCACTATCCCATTTTCATGGCAAACGAAAAAGAAAAAAACATTTGAAACGAGTTTAGATTTGTTCATGTTTGTTCAAGTTTATGGTATATTTATGATAAACTTGAAGATGGATAAAAGTTCGTAAAAATGCAAATAATTTGAAATAATTTTGGCATCCCAATGCTCGTGTTAGACTATGCAAAACATATGTACATCTATATCAAATTCACGTTGGCCAGTTGCAAACAAAAAAGTGAACAAATTTTGGTCACTTTTCCAAATATGTTTTAGATAAATCATGAAAAAAGTCACATTATTTCATACATTCGCATACATTCATCTCGAATGCTATGAATTCAGACATTTGCAATTAATATCATCACAAATTATTATTTTTTTTCTACTTTGGATGTGATTTTGTTTTAGAATGTGTTTGAATTTATGTCGCGTTTGCAATTCAAAACAAGTCCATACATTGTACGCTCGAAAAAGACAACAACAACAATCCATGGAAAGAGTTTCAGTGTAAACATATCCACCAAAAACACGTAAAACAGGACACAATACAGTGGGCGTTTAAATTTTGTTTTTTTTTTTTTGCATTCAATTTCACATAATTTAATGTTCGTAGTTTTGCATGGGTTATAGTAGGGAAAAATGTAAAAGCAAAATACTAATAGAAAACGGGCAAGTTTTCCATTATTTGCAATGTTTGTGGTTGATAGCATTAAATTTCCGTGATTTATTCGCTGGATACATTCGTTTCTATTGTTGGTCGATCCACTTGTGTGGAACACAAAATGAACTAGACTAACAATTGGCGTTTCATGCATACACACAAAAAAAGCATGAGCGAATAAGCAATGAATCTGTTTTTGAGTTTATCATATTTTTCAAAAGCGATTCACTATTAATTATAATTTAGATGTCAAATGCGACAAAATATGTTTATCATAATTTATTGTGCTGATGAAGGGCTGTGATAGCAACATAAAAAAATCGATTATTTTCCACAAAAATATTTATTAGGGCGATTTTATCAAATTCATAGACATTTGAAGTGGAAAAAAATAAATGGCAAAAATTAACAAATTATTTCAATTTTCTGTCAACAAAATGATCAACATAAAACCTACACTAATTCGGCTTTAATGTGCCTATGACCACTTTGAAGGCCGCCCGAGATAGCGATAATTCATAAACAACGTACGCAATGAATGCGCGACAAATTTATCACATCACATTGTTGCCGAGCATTGAGCTTTTGTTGGCATGAAAATGAAAACGAGATTGTGATGTGAATGCGTTTTCATACATGTCATTCACAAGCACACAACGGGAAATATTAAAAGTAATTTATAGCCCGAACTTTTGTTCATTGCATATTGCTCATTGTAATTGTGATTGCGAGGTTTTTTTTATTGGCCTTCTGTTTGCTATTATCGTTTCAATTGTTGCCGTTGATGGTGTTATTGCCGTTGCTGCGGATGCTGTTTACGGTTTGAAAGAGAATCGAAAAGTCACTCTTTTTCATTCATTGGCGGGTATTGTAGGGTACTCAATGCGCTTATACCTATACATAATATTGTATTAGAAGTATATCGTAGATTTATAGACTGAAGTTGACGGCCTCTACTGTCTGACGTATTAAATGATTAATGGACATTTTTCCACATGGTTTTTTTTAAGTTGCAAAGAATAAAATAATAAAAAGAGAGAAATAATGGCAACTGAATACTTGCAATTTTGAATCAGACACCATTCATATATAAGAAAAATGGTACTACATGGTTCATAGAAAACGGTATCATTCGTTGAAGTGGTGGAGCTGATAAATCCAAAAAATACCAAACATTCACAAGATACACGTAGGTGACAAAAGAACAAGGGTTGTCTGTCAATTTTTAATTCGGAAATGTTTGCGATCATTAAATGGACCAGTTTACACTTGTCGACAGAGTTCGACACAACTATCGTTAAATTATCAAATACACATTGCCTGGATAAAGGAACTTTTCTTTCCTTTTGTTTTGTGTATACAACTATCAGGTAGAAATCAATCGTATGTTGGGGTCACCATTTGTTTACAAAGTATTATAAACACAACAAACATTAGGTAATCGAGCAAACAATTGAATTTTCTTCCCTTATAACACTATTTATATTTACACCATTGTGATTTGTTTGGCTAACAATGCCTGCTACGCATTATTCGGAACAATTACCTTTATTAAAACGTATATCTGTGTTTATTTTGAAATAACCACGAATTTTCGAACAGTGTTTGTAGCAGTGGACCAAGTTTGAAGCGACTTCAAGTTAATGTAGTCAAAAATTGGCCACATCTTTAGCATAAATATTATAATAACTTCATTCTGATCGCTTTCATATAATAAATGTGTTGCGTTCATTCATAATTCAAGGAAATTTGTTATTTAACTGTCATGATTATCTGCATCGATTAAAAAAAAACAAGCACATAAAATCGCGCCCACGAAAAAAAGAATAAATTTATAATTTAAATGACCCATTTATCGAATATCAGATGATACAATGGCCCATGCAATGCATATAAATCTCTATAAAAGTTTCTCGAAAGCGATACATCATATCAAAATATATCGTTTAATTTCCAACTTGTATAAATTCACAGCATTCTTTTAGCCGAGAAATGTAAATCAGCACATGTTTCTATCGTTTATGAAGCCAATCATCTCACCATATGTTCCAATAAAGCGGACATAATTGCCAAATACAACGTCTACGGAAATACTTGGCATGAAACAAAATGTAACGATGAGCCACAAGACAATAAAACTTGTTAGTTCACATTATGGGAAGCAGTGCTGATGTGCTTAAAGCATTTGTGAAACCGCATATCACGGCCACCAGATCCGTGACACGCTCATATCTTCTTCTTTTTTTATTCAATTTCATTTTACGGCGTACAGAGGCACCAATATAAACAGCAACATTATCCGCTTTAATCGTTATGGCTTGAATTTGCAATTCAGTGAATTACTTAACGTAGACATCACTGAATCTAGACGGAGATCGACCTTCTTCTTCCTTTTGGTCCGATTTTCACCAAAAACCATTTCGTATACTCGTAGTCAGCTTTAGAACAAAAAAAAATAATCTTCATGATACACATGGCTGCAACACCAATGCAAAAGAAGCCGTTTACCATGATAAAAATCTAAACGACCCATGTAGTCAGGTCACTTCGTGTATTAACAGCGAAATATCAATTTTTAAGACTTACATACTTTTTCTTTTATTTTGAAGTTCACGATATGATGGCGACTTTGACGATAGGCAGTTGCTTTTTTTTAAATAAGTACACTTTATCTCTGGGATCTGTGGCATTTTGACACAATAATTTAATACGATTTTTTTTTGCTCATAGAAAGACTTTTTTTTTTCAATATTTTTAATAATATTTGTATTTCCAATACAATTTATCAGTGGCACTCACTGTGTTTTATGTACAAAAAAAATATATCTCGATTTTCATTGATACTGAAATCGATTTGAGTTGAATAAATAAGTATCGTTTTTGAGGACAGTTCAAATTACGTTTTGAATGTGAAATTGTTCTAAACAATTTGGTTTGAGTATATTGTGTATATGTTAGGTCATGGCTTCAAGTTTAATGCAGCCAAATAGAATAACATACTGGTATGTGTGAAAAGTATTTGAAAAATGCTTCAACTATGCTGAATCGGCACTGCAGTGATACGCATAGTTATGTTTATTCCCGTTTCATATACAAGAGTTGTCTCGAAATTCAATTTTGGTTTCCCTTTCGCCGCACATAATTATTTGGTACGTGTGATACAAGTTTCTATGATATGTCAATCAAATTAACGTTTTAGAGTGAATAGCGTGAAACTATTAAAGCTTTCCGAATCATCCGTGTGCCGTGCAGATGTGAACAACAATTCTTTTGAGTTTTTTTCTTATTTATATTTATCATGCCATATGGGAAATTTATTTCCTCTCGTTGTATTTTTTTTTCGCTATTGTTTTTTTTTCTACTCTAATTTATGTGAGCCATTGTCTGATGTGTCCGATGAAAGTCCAAACTTTTTGTTTAGAAACTTTCTGAAAAAAAAGAATATGCGATTTTTTTTCGCTATTTCTGATAAAGCCATTTATGTATTTGAATTTAATTTATGTAATTTTTCAGCGGGGTCTTCGTGCTCAAGCCCCGTTAGCTTAGCGAATCCAATCCCCTGTCAATGGTTTTTTTCTCTCAACATAATGTGAATGAGCGATGAAGAAAGCATCCTTATGCAAAAGATACCTTTACACTGCAGTCAAATTAAAACGAAAAGTGTATTAC